AATGGTTTAGCCATCTTCAATTATTATCCGAACCATCCACGACGAAACCCTCCAACGGTCCCACCTCCCGGACCACGTTGGAATGACACCGAACCACGACTGGCTCAAAGCATTGCAATGAAATCACACAAAGGTTACATCCACCCTCCTCCTCAAACATCTGACCGAGTAATTGTCATGCTCAATACACAAAACCTTATCAACGGCAATGTTCGTTGGTCAATCAACAACATCTCGTACAATCTCCCACACACGCCATATCTCATCGCGCTGAAGTACAACTTAACCCATGCTTTCGACCCTTCTCCTCCCCCGGACGGGTACAACTTTGTGAACTACGACATTTACAGCGTTGCCAAGAATGTGAATGCCACTACAAGCACTGGAATCTACAGATTGAAGTTCAATACAACAGTGGATATCATATTGCAGAATGCCAACATAAGGACCCCAAACAATAGTGAGACACATCCATGGCATTTACATGGACATGATTTTTGGGTTGTGGGCTATGGCAAGGGCAAGTTTGACAAAACAAAGGATCCCAAAAACTACAACCTAGTAAACCCAATTAGGAAAAACACAGTGGCTGTTCATCCATATGGATGGACTGCTTTAAGATTTAGAGCCGATAACCCGGGAGTATGGGCTTTTCATTGCCATATAGAGTCCCATTTCTTCATGGGCATGGGAGTTGTATTTGAAGAAGGAATTGAGAAACTGGGCTCATTGCCCACATCAATAATGGGATGTGGTGATACCAAAGGATTCCACAGGCCGTAGATTTTTTTTAGGAGGAACACGCTAAAATCAGGGATCAAGATTGAAAATCTCAATTTTTAACGTCATGGAAAAATACGCCAAGAAAATTACAATTTTCAAAGCCTTGGAATTATTGTAACTTCTCATAGGCCTACAATAACTATTGCGAAGTTTCAACTATTGTAACTTTCTTTTTTTCAAAAAATAAAACACTAAAGTTCCAATCAATGTAATTTCGTAAATGTATTTTTCGATGAAACGTGAAAAACCAGATTTTTCAGTTTTTCGCCTCAAAAACAGTTTAGGTCTTAAATTCCTCTCTTTTTGGGGCCGTACATGTTCATTTATCATTTTTTTTCATCTACTCTTTTTAGTGTAAATGGCGAAATTCTTTCCCCGTTTGGAGTCAATTTGCACTTCGAAAAATTGTCTAAGCAGTAAGCGTGCTTCAAATTTTGTTTATATATTTGTTAGCTTGTTCAGTAAAATGTGAACCATACAGTAATCCAAAATGAAAATAAAATAAAATATTTCTATTAAATCGTTGATCTTGTCCATACCAAGCACAGTTTCCAAGTTTTAACTTTTATTACCGAAAAAATATCTATATTTTTTATAAATGTAAGTAATTGTCCATAGATTAAACTCTGTTATTTCTCCCTTCTACTGTTTGCAGTGATGTTACGTAATGGAAGTTTCTTGGTTTGTTTCAAAAAAAAGTTTTAAGTTGATAAAGAAAAAGAAACTCAGAAAGTTTCCATGTAATTTCAAAGTCAAATAAACATGAATACACCAAATGTCAAATTGAACCAAAAAACCCAGCTTGTGACAATTTGAAAGAAACTTCCTCTCAAGAAATGAATTTCTTTGTAGCCCTCCAAGTCAAACAAACATGAAAATTATTTACAAAGAAAATGGTATTATGAAGAGTAATGATATTCATACTAACTGGTGTTAAGCACCAATTTAGATGACAATTACATGACATTAAATGATAAATTCATTTAAATCTAGAGTCAAATGACTAATTTAATTGAATTTATAAAGTACAACTTAGATCGGTATTAGATAACATTATTCTATTATGAATTGTCTTAAAAATCGCTTAGTTAAAATTATCAGCTAATCACGTGTGATGTGAGTTGGTACCTGGAATTTTGTCAAGTTCTAGTGAATCGTCCTCTTCAAGTGATAAAAATGATCACGAGGTAAATAGTTCAGTGAATATTGCTAAGGAAACTAGCCCAAATGCAAAACATACAAGGCCAACAGCTATCCTAACAATATGAACCAATGAATTCAAATAGAGTCGAAGATGGTATATTCAAGAGGATGAGAGCAACATAGCACCTGAATACCTTCTCCTGCCCCAAGCGCACCTTGCATTCCAATCCTAGTTGTCCTAGTGGAAGGGGGAGCAGAGGTCGAAGAAGGATATTTTGAATGCTAAACATGAAACTATACTCATCAAAACACCCAGATACATTGAAACCAA